TTCCTTTTCTGCACACGCCTGGACCCTCAGATTGAACTTCCACATTTGGGAAGAAACCGACTATCCACCAGATGACTAGAAATTGCTGCAGGACCACAAGAAATATAGGGAAGCAGGAAAGTACCTCTCCCACAAGGGAAAAGGATAGCTCCTCTTCATCCACACACAGTTCAATGGAAATGTCTGATAAAGAATTCAGAACATTCATAATGGCAAAGCTAACAGAGATGGAAGAGAAGAGAGACAAGGAACTGCTGAAGAGGAAGGAGAAAGGAGTTGAAGAGTTCCAGGAGGTGAGGAAATTCATGCAAGATCTAAAAGAGGAATTTCACACTTTACAAAAGAATCAGATGGAACTGTTAGAGATGAAGGCTATAATACAAGAAGTCAAAATCTCCCTTGAAAGTATTAAAAGCAGACTAGATCATACAGAAAATAGAATCTCTAATGTAGAAGAGAAAATGGTTGGCCTAGAAAAATCCACCGCGAAGACTGAGAAAATGGCCCAAAAATTTGAGAATAATATGCGAGAAGTACTAGATACCATCAAACGTCCAAACATCCGGATAATAGGCATCCCAGAAGGTGAAGAGACTCATAAGGGCATTGATAATCTATTCCATGAAATCTTACAAGAAAATTTTCCAAACCTGGAGAGGCACTCAAAGATTCAGTCCCAAGAAATACAGAGGACCCCAAATAGAATCAACCCAAGAAGATCTTCTCCAAGACACATTATAGCCAGATTGACCAAAACCACAGACAAAGACAAGATACTAAGACTGGCAAGAGAAAAAAGGCAAGTTACCTACAAAGGGTATCCCATCAGACTAACGGCAGACCTCTCATCGGAAACAATGAGAGCGAGGAGAGAATGGGAAAATGTATTCAAAGTATTAAGGGAAAAGCAATTTCAACCGAGAATTCTGTACCCAGCAAGGTTATCGTTCATTTGGGAAGAAAAGACACGAACTTTCCCAGATAAACAAAACCTGAAAGAATTTACCAGCACCAGACCGGATCTCCAAGAAGTTCTTAAGGGAGTGCTATGTCAGTAAAATTAAATGCAGACACACAGAAATAAGAGTTCAGAAACTAAGAAAATGGGCAACTTAATTGTAGGGCCAAAAGCTGGAGTTGAGTATTACATCCCAGATTTCAATCTGGAACATCGAACCTCAACAGATACAGAAGAAAGATTAAGTACATGAGACTGAACTGATGAAACAGTATTCTACGACTTGACTAAAATATTGCTGCTTTTCTTCTAAGCTTTGTTGTCTGGTTTTAAGGACTTTTGTCCTGTCTTCAGCTATCAATAGATTCATGTTCCGACTATTTGAACAGAATACTAACCTGTTTCTAGGCTTTAAGTTTCAAAGAAATATCCTTACCAGTTCAAAACTGCTTTTCTTGAAACCATCGGCTGATCTTGCTATTGAAAGTAGTTAGATTACTTATGATATTGTGTGACCAACGAAATGTTGGGGGAAAAGGGATTGAAGACAACTGTAGACAGCAGAGATAGTGTAATAAGAGAGTGGAATGGGGCAGAGGGTCAGACATAGGGTAAAAAACATATATATATGAAAGTAGTAATGGAATTTTATGGATGATAACATGCATGATTAAGCCACTATGCAGTTTACTCTAGAGGGGAAACCACATTTAGTATGTTGTGGTGATGCTCAGGGAATGAATGTAAATTTTTAAAAAAATTCAGAGAAAAAAAATACTAAAACTGTTACCAAAATTTAAAGAAAAAAAACTGTGTATTTGATAACCACAGTGAGCTTTATAGCCCCAGCTAGGTACTATTTTATAGTATGTTCATTCTACTCACTGAGGTTTATGCCTAAAGTCAGACATGGGTTCTTGTGTATGTATATATCAGCTGTGCTTGCTATTGCAAATATTTAGACAAATTAAGTTCATTATCAAATCAATTAAATAGGGGGGATAGGCATAGAAAGCAAACAGGGATAACAGAGACAATGGGAGGAGGGTTGGACAGGGCAGAGGGTTAGGGATAGGGAATCAAGGATGGCAAAAAAAGAGAAAAAACTCAAAAATATACAAGTCATAAGAAATGAAAATTGTTTGTTGATAACACATATGTTGATGTGCTTGATTGAGCCAACAGACAGTGTATTTTGGATGAAAAATTCATTTTGTATACTGTAATGATGTATAGCATATTAATGTTAAAAAAGAAAAATAAATTAATAAAATAAAAAATTTTAAAAAGATTGTAAAAAAATTCAGGCTGAAGATAAAAAAGAAAATCATGAGACATAAGGAAATCATTTTGGGTGACAAAGCCTTTTCTTACCACTTTTTTTCTTTGGGAGAAATAAATTTTGCTACAAGGTGCCTATGCACTCTGAAAGACAGAGACAGAGAGATGGAAGTGAGAAATCATCCCCCCATGGGAGGATGGCCACACTGCAATCCCTTCCCATCCATTCTCCTCTTGGGATTTTGGGCACACACACACATGCGCCCAGTGTGAGTTTCAAGCCACCAGGACCAGGACTTGAACCAAGGTTGACCACATAGGATACCAGTGCCTTAACTCTACTCCAATTGCTGGTCCTCTTACCTCTCTTAGGAGCACACATTGACATGGATTTTAAGCACCAATTCTACTGAATATAGTGGATTTTCTTCATAACTAGTCTAGTAATACTCTCTATAATATCTAAATAAAAAACAAAAATAACTACTGCAACTGAAGTAAACCAAACAGTTGTTTTTGTTTATTGGCACAGTGGCCCTTGATATATCATGTAGATATAGGACACGAAAGTTCAAGGTCATGGGAACAGGAATATAAATTGATTTATAGAGAGATGATTTTGTGGGGTTTTCTGTTTTTTTCTTCCTTACTGGTGTCTCTGCCATCTTCCCTCCAAGGGAAACTCCACGGACTTACTGAACAACACCATTACTCTAAATCTGATTGTCCAGTAGGACTTCTGTAATCATGTTGAAGGGAAGACATTGCCATCTTTGCCCCGGCTTCGGGCAGTGATTCTCCTGCCAGCTCCTTCTCCAGGTGTGTATGCAGACAGCCATGCAGCACTGCTTGTCACTGACTGCGCCCTGTGCGAATACGCGCTGACAGGCCAGCACGGGGCAGGAGGCTGGCTGGCAGTAACCGGGAGGGCCAGGAGGTCCAGGGAGACCCAGCATGCCAGGAATTCCTGCCATTTCTGGGGGTCCTTGCTCACCGTCCTGGCCATTTCTCCCGTAGCTGACAGGGCCTAGGTTATCTGGGAGACCTGCAGCCCCAGACAAACCTTTGGAACCTCTTCCTGGAGGGCCACACTCCCACTTTTCTCCCAAGTCATCTTATATGATCAAGTTATGCTTGACAAATGAATAGTGCTAGAGCCATTTTCCAGGTTCCAAATATGGAAATATACCTTTCTTTCTTCCAAAATGAAGTCATCCGACAGTGCCAACGCAGCCCAACCTAGACACAATGCAATGCATCTAAGAGCTTCCCTGGGGAAAATCATTCTTACTCCTTCCTAGACGCATCGCTACTGCCCTTGAATGTACAAACAGTAACAATGGAGTTCTTTACATTCGATTACCCTTGAGTGCTGTCTTCATTTCTGGTGTCATACTTCATTCTGTTCCTAATTGTTCGTAAAACGTAGCTAATGATAAAGATGACTTCAATTTATTGAGCCTTGATTCTGGACTGGCCACTATGATAAGAATGTGTGCTGGGGCTAGTGGGTGGTATGGTGGTTAAGGCACTGGGCTCCCACATGGCCAACTGTGGTTCAAGTCCCAGACCTGGCAGCTTGAAAATCACTCTGGGCACAAGTGCATGCGTGTATACCCAAAGTTCTGAGAGGAAAACAGAGGAGAAGGGCTAATGGTATGGTCATCCGCCTGGGGGATGATTTTTCACTTTCCCACTCTCTTTCTCTGGGGAGCACATGTGCTCTATGCCAAACAAACAAACAAACAAAGAATGTGGGGACCAGTAGTTGGCGTAATGGCTATGTCACTGGACTCCCATGTAGTCGACCGTGGTTTGTGTCCTGGACCCGGTGGCTTAAACTCACGCCAGATGCATGTGTGTGCGTGCCCAAGATCCTGAGAGGAGAATGGAGGAGAAGGGATTGTGGTGTGGCCATCCCCCCTAGGGGGTGATTTCTTGCTTTCTGTCTCTCTTTCTGGTGAGAGCACACACCCTATAGCAAAAACCTCTCCAAAAAAAGAAAAAAGAAAAACCAGAACGTGTATTATCTCATTTAATTTCAAGGCAAATTTATGAGATAGGTACTACTGTTATATATCCTTATCCTATAGAGGAGGAAAATTAGACTAAGAAATGACTGACTTCTATACCTTGGGGAGCCAGTTGGCACAGAGGTATTCAAATGATTGATCGGTTAGTACAACTCTGCTGTGTACTAACTAAATATCAGCCCTGGCTATGACCTCCTTTCTTTTTCATACTGCCTGGATTTCAGACATAATAGCAGGTGCTCGAGCATCATTTCTGGGCCATGAGGAAGAAGAAGCTTTGTTAAAGATGAGCAAGGAGTAAGACAGGAGTATGGATCCCTGATGACCGTGAGTAACTGCTCCCTGACCAATTGCTTGCAAGTGGTAGAGCACAGTTTGTGCCTTAGCCACTACACCACTATGCATGTGTATAGATGTGAATTTATTAAAAAATTGCCAGAAGGTGTGCTCACCAGAGAGAAACAGAGAGACAGAGAGGGAAGGAAGGGAGAAAGCATTGCCCGGATGGGGCATGGTCATGCTGCAATCCCTTCTCTCCTATTCTCCATTCTGTCAGGCTATGGGGCAGGCATCCACATGTGCCCAATGTGTTTTAGAGGCCACCAGGACTGGGATTTAACTGCAGTTGTCCATGTGGAACCTGGATCCCTTAATTACTGGGCCTTGAGCTGGCCTAGGTATGTGTGTAGATGTGTAGATGTTTATGTGCATGTGTATACACTCATGTATCTAACATACCTGAAATAAAACATCACATAAAGGTGCTATCCTCGTGTGCAGTGTGGTCTGTTGTTTTCTATTTACTCTAGTCTGGTTCTCCCCCTCTATCATTTTTTTCTTTACTTTTTTCTCCTTTTATTTTTCAGAATTTTGGTAGCCAGTCTCTAAAGGGATTGCACTGTCAGCTGGGTCCTATAGGCGGGGAAGCCCCACCCACAGCATGCTGCAAGTGACACCCAGCAGAGGGCAGCCTGAGGAAGCGCTGGCAGAAGTGGTGGTCGGTCTGGAGAAGGGAACAGGCATAGGGAAAAGGAGGTGGAATAGAAGAACGTCTCCTCATCCGTGGGCCTTCATGTGGAGAGGGGGTGATGCCTATGACAGGTTGGCCTAGGGTACAGACTGGTAGAAGTTAACAGGGACATGGCAGAGGGGCCTCGCTCCCAAAGAGCAAAGCCTGGGCCCACGTTGGTCTCACAGGAGGGGCTTTCCAAACCTGGGCACCTCCTGTTCACCAGCCTCAGTCCCTCGCAGTGCTAGAACAGCACAGGAATGATGGCTGCGATTGTGGATGACGCGACACATGCCCACGAGCCTGGGGCACTGCAGCTCAGCCAGGAGCGTGGGTGGGACCCACATGGCTCAGCTTCTCTTAACCTCACTCTGCCCATGTCTCTTGGCCCTGCTCTGTCCTCATGGCTGGGATCAAAGAGGTCTGAGGAAACTAACAAACCACCCCTGGATGGACTAGAACTGGCACAGGTCTTGGCGCAAGAGTCTCGGTGTACATAAGTTAGGAAGAGGTTTATCACATGAAGAAACCTCACGCTCTGTGCCCTGTGCTTCTAAATACCCCCCTTCAGCTGCCCCCGACAGCCTAGATAATGCCCTTTTCTCCCTTCTCTGGGGTGCAGCTCTGTATGTGTCTCCAGCTGCACTCTGCGAGTCTTCTGGGGGCCTCTCTGGCTCGCGAGGTCTAACATTCTCAAGGGAAAGAACTATATGCTGGTCCTCTCTGAAGCCCGTTCCCCTGCCCTACATCCAGCAGGTTCTCCATCAACGTCCACCTGTGTGTAATGTAACTGAGTGTTGGACCCTGATTCACATGAAGCACCACAAGGTCAGGTGTTAGAGGCGGAACCTCGAAGCTCGAGTCACCTGTGGCTTATAATCATCGTTCTCTTGGGAAGCCCATTTTATTACAGCCTCTTGAGTTTTCTTTCCTGAAGGCAGCCCTACACTCCTCAGATGACTGTAAGTGTGGTCAGGAAGCAGGTCTGTCCTGTCTGCCAGCACGGAGCCTGATGCATGGCTGCTCTTGGGGTCTGTCCATCTGAACTGCCGATTTGAAGCGAGTTGCGCAGATGGAACAATAGGAAGTATGGCTCAGGACGGCCAAGTGCTGAAGAGAGGAACAAAGAGATGGGAGCACTGAAATGGAAGACCCTGAACAGAGCCACAGTAGGAATGATGGAGGCAAATACTAGGGAAAGCTCTAGACGAAGGTCTGGAGGCCAAATACCTGACCCGCTTTAACCCCTAGTACGCGAAGTTCACAGAACAGATTCCTAGAAGTGCTCGAGTCCTGAAAAATTGCCAGGGCTGGTTTCCACACCATTCTTCTCTCACTCACTTCACAAGCATATGGGGATAGCCTCAAATCTGCTTCAACTTTTAAAAGTTTATCATTTGCAAACATTGGTACTTTAGTCACTCAGTAAGAAATTATTTGCAACCTCACCGTAGAGGAAAACCTCCAACCTGAGAACACTGTCGGGGCAGGCTTCTCCTCATGGTGACGGTGGGCTTTTCTACTGTGCTGTCTGCTCAGGAGGGGTGTTTCATACTTCACGTCGGGGAGATGGGTGCAGAGAACTCACCTCATTTGTTCAGACCATGTAACCTCAGTAGGATGACCGATCTTTCTTTAACCTCTCTCTTTTACAGCTGCTGATATGGCCTCCAAAAGATCTTAAACTAGACAGCAAGGTTCAAATCCCAGCCCTGCTACTTGTGTGCAGTTCAGCGACTGAGAGGCAAGAAGCAGGCAGGTGTGGGCTCCAGGTATGACTCCGTGAGATGGGTTTTCCGTGCTTTTCCTCCAAACCTTTGTCTCTCACCTACTAAGTGACTATAATAAACTTCTGGCCTAAGAGGCAGTGACCACAGTCCCACGGGATTATGCACGTGAAAAAAGGCAGAGTATTCTACAAATACCGGTTATTGACAGTTCGATGGGCAATCGGACATTACCTTTCCTTGGAATCTGCTGAACAACTCAGGAATGCGTTAATATCAGCCCCGATGGTGAGCACTTGGTCTTTGTCTGTAGCTGTAAGAGAAGGTGCTCAGTTAAATCTGCGTGAAGCCCAGCCAAGAACATGTGTCTGAAGTCAACAGCTTCCTTCACTCAGACAACAGCCCAAACTCCAAGCAACAACTCTAGGCCCTCTGGAAAATCCCATGGGCTAAGGACTTCCAGAGTCAACAGTAATTTCTACCTGCTTTTGACTTAAAATGTGCTTTTCAAATTGTGGTGTGAATCAAAATCACTTGGAGAGCTTGTTACGGCACACAGACCACTGGGCCACCCCAGGATTTCTGATCTGATAGGTCTGAGGTGGGGCTGGGAATGTCAGTTCTAACAAGCTCCCAGGCAACACTGATGCTGCAACGGCTGGTCCGAGGACTGCAACTCTGCTTTATAAGAATTCAAACATTGTGGGGGGGGGCGGCAGGTGGTGTGGTGGTTAAGGGCGCTGGACTCCCACATGGTCAACTGCAGTTTGAGTCCTGGACCTGGCGGCTAGCTTTCTCACTTTCTCTCTCTCACTCTTGCTCTCACTCTGTCTTTCTCTATCATATTAAAAATAAATTAGCAAATAAATAAATAAATTTAAATAACAAAATAATTCTTTTAAAAAAAGAATTCGAGCATTGGAAAGAGTCTCCCCCTCCCCTCAGTAAAATATACATAAAAGTTACCATTTTAGTCCAGTGTGTGTGTGTGTGTGTGGGGGGTGGGGTTCCTGGTGGTAGAAGGGGAAACTCTGACTTCTCTCACACTCAGGTTTATGACTCAGGGCAACAGGACTGAATATCAGTGCCCTCCAGCACATGCCCCTCTGTTCCTTCCTGCAGTCTCCAGCAGCCTCCAGCCACCATGCCTTAATAGACCCCCACCCCTCTCCTAGCTGAGAGCAGCCTCCTGATCCAGGTCAGCCAATCAGATTCACTCTCAAAGATTCGAATTAAGAGACACTGAGAAGGTGATCCATGAACTGTGAGTCCCAGACTTGCAATGCTTAGCATCTTGATCAGATGCCGGTCAGAGACGCATGCAAGTTGGGGTAGTGGAGACACAGAACAAGGGTGAGCAGAGGGTGCTGGCTGGAGACAGAGGTGCATAGGCAGCCCTGCCACGAAGGGCTAAGATGAGGACCTTGGAGGGGTCATGGAAGCAGGGCAGACAGGCAAAGATCAGTTTCCATGCGATAACTCACACCTGAGGCCTGAGGATCTTTATTTCAGTTAGTGGCATCCTTGACCAGAAACTAAAATCTGGTTTCACTTTTGGCTCAATGGTCTGAAAAAGATAAAGGTCATTTGGGGCTGGTTGCAAGAGACCAGCAGTGGGAAGGTGGGGGAGTATAAACCCTTCTGGGGTGGGTTCTCAGACTAGCTTTTTCCTGTGCCCCTCCTCCCATCAACACCACATACTTTCAAGTCTGCCGCCCACGAAGACAGTGCACCAAATATCACTCAAAATCTCTCCAATGACAGGCCACCACATAGCTCAGTAGTTAAATCCTGTGCTTGGGAAGCTGGATCCCATATGGATGACCATGGTTTGAGTCCCAGACTCTGAGGCTTGGAAAAACATGTGCTTGTGTGATCCAAATCCTGATGGAATAGAGAACTGGAGGAAAAAGAATTGTGGCATATACACTGTTGGGTGGGGTAGGGCTCTTTTTTTCTCTGTCTCGGTGTCTTAATCTCTCTCTGGTGAGTGCATGAACTCTCTGTCAACTTAAAAAAAAAAAATGACAAAAACTTTGGGCCAGTCGGTGCTATGGTGAAGGTAGCTGGATCCCATATGGCTGATTGGGTGGTTCGAGTCCTGACCCTGGTGGCCTGAGAAACACACTGGGTGTGTGCGCGTGTGTGCCCAAAATCCTGAGAAGAGAATGGAAGAGAAAGGACTGCAGCATGGCCATGGCTCGTGGGAGTCAGCTTCCTTCTCTCTCTCTCTCTCTCTCTGCGGTGAGCGCAACACACTATGACAACCTAAAGCAAAACAAAACAAAGCAAGGCTCTCCAGCGATGGTCCACTCACCTTCCAGAAGGCTGAAGAGCAGCCTGGCTGGACTGTTCCTGGTGGAGGGGCAGTCCTGGAGTTTTAGGTTAAAGATGAAAAGTTTCACTTTTGGCTCAATGGTCTGAAAAAGATAAAGATCAGCAAGTGACCAAAGCAGTCATCAAAGCACCTTTCTTTTTTTTTTTTTTTTGGAGAGGTTTTTGCTATAGGGCACATGCGCTCGCCAGACAGAGAGAGACAGAGACAGAAAGCGAGAAATCACCCCCCAGAGGGGATAGTCACGCCGCAATCCCTTCTCCTCCATTCTCCTCTCAGGATCTTGGGCATGCACGCACACGTGCCCAGAGTGAGTTTTAAGTCACCGGGTCCGGGATGCGAACCGCGGTCGACTACGTGGGAGTCCAGGGACATAGCCATTACGCTAACTGCTGGTTCCCAAAAGCACCTTTCAATAACAGGGATAGAGTCAAGATTATAAGCTATAAACACTTAACCTGGCTCTAGAAATGGCCTCTAGCCATTTCAGATAATGATGAAGGCTGACTCTAGACTCTGAAGAAGCAAGATTCACACCATTCAATAATTTCGGCCATCCTCCCCACCAGTCCCTACTAAAGGAATACCTTCACCTATTCCCTTATCTTAGCCTACAAGCCACCTCTGAGAACCAGGCACTGTGTTAGGATCAGAGATAAAGCCAGCCACTCGCACCAGCAGCTTGTATTACTTAAGGAGCTTCGGGACCGATTTTCTTCTTCAGCCGGGAAGGATGTTGCTGTAGAGACACAGTAACTGCCATGGCTTCCAGTGCTTTGGCGAAACCTCAGGTGCGTGGCCTTCTGGCCAAGCGTCTGCAATTTCACATTGTTGGAGCATTCATTGTATCCCTGAGCGTCGCAGCTTTCTATAAGTCTGCTGTGGCTGAACCAAGAAAGAAGGCATATGCAGATTTCCACAGAAAGTATGATTCCATGAAAGATTTTGAAGAGATGAGGAAGGCTGGTATCTTTCAGAGTACAAAGTGATTTTGGAATGTAAAGAATGTCATTGGATTGGTGCCATGTTGCTGAACTATGAAACATGAATGCATGGGCTAAAGAATAGTTTCTCTTGATAAATAAATACAGTGGACAGTAAAAAAAAAAAAAAAAGAAAGAAAGAAAGAAAGAAAGAAAGAAAGAAACAAATCAGCAAATGGCATAGTGGCTATGTTGCTGGACTCCCATGTAGTCGACCACGGTTTGAGTCCTGGACCTGGCAGCTTAAACTCATACAGGGTCCGTGTGCATGCATGCGTGCCCAAGATTCTGAGAGGAGAACGGAGGAGAAGGGATTGCGGCGTGACCATCCCCTCTGGTGGGTGATTTCTTGCTTTCGGTCTCTCTCTGTCTTTCTGGTGAGTGCACATGCCCTATAGCAAAAACCTCTCCCCAGTGCCATATTTATGAGTATCTGGGATTTGGATTCACTTCAAAATAATTTGGTTTCATAGGGGTTCATTATACTTTCTCTGTACTTTTGGAAAAATTTGGATAATAAAAAGTTAAAGGAGGGCCAGCTCTGCAGGTTCATGGTTAAGTAGCTAGATCTCACATGCCCGACCACATGCTTTAAATACCAAACCGGCAGCTTGAAAAACATGCTGGGCGCTTATGCATGCATGTCCAGAATCCCAACAGGATGGAGAAATGGAGAAGAAAGAACTGTAGTGCAACCATGCCTACAGGGCGGGGCGGCACCTTCTCCTTTTCTCTCTCTCTCTCTCTCCCTCTCTGATGAGCACTTGAGCCCTCTGGGGGGGTGTTAAAGTGGCTGTCACCATTATGTCAGAGCAGGTGTGATCCGCCCTACCCCATTTCTAGTCATTTCAATAACAGCTCTAAGCTGACATGTTTGACCTTACTTTTTCTTTTTCTTTTTTAAAGTTTATTCTTTATTTATTTCTAAAGAGAGAGAGGCACCCTTGACAGGGTCTCACCATGCTGCGCCCCTCCCCAGCCTTCTGCCAAGCCAGGATCATGGGTATGCCAAGTGCTCCCTTCATGTCGGGGTCTACCTGGGATCTGAACCTGCGGCCCCCATGTGGCTCCAGCATTGTGCAGTGACACCCTAACTGTCTGTGCCACCATGGATGGGCCTGACTTCATTTCAAAATACATTTTTGGGGATGTCGAGGTTGGACATTTTCCCCCAAAATCCTTTCTTCCTCTGAGCAGTTAAAGGCTATTAAGAGACACCTACAGCAACTACTTTAAAAGGAGCTGGGCACATCCTATATTTTCTTACAACTACCTGTGACTAAGTCCTTTCTTTACAGATGAGCATCTGAAACGTGGAGAAGCCCCAGGGAGAACTCAGCTCTCCTTCCTGTCCTGGGTATGGAACTGCATGGGAACTGCTACCAGGCAGGGAACTGTGACCCCAGAGAGGCACAGCCTCTCCTCCGGCCCGGTGCTTGACGAGTGTCATTCTGACTCTTCGCGGCTGTGTCTGAGCAGCCAAGTACAATGTCTGGAACTGAATTCCTGCCCAGAGAAATAAAGGAATAAAGAACCATCGCAGAGCGTTACAAACGGCTGCTGAGTTTGTCCGCGGACAGTTTTACTACTCGGCTGGCTGGCTTTGGACTGAGGTTTCACTGCTTTACCAGACACTGGTAGGAGTGGGCCTTCTTGATGACGTTTGGATATAAAAAAGGAAGCACAGTAAGCCACTTCCTCGAGCACGAACTGTACCAGGACTCCTGCCTCACGTAGACACGCCGTCTGTGTAGCTGAGATGGTTTTAAATTCCAGCGTGATCTGGACCCATTAGCTTAGCAACCAGGTCTCATTTAGTTCCTTGAGGATGGCAAAAGACAGATTTAGTCTTCACGGGCACAAGCAGACCTCAAATACACCACAGCGCTATCTAAGGCCCAGAAATCTGGACAGCAAGCCCCTGAGTATAGGATCTGCTTTGCAAGCAAGTTCAGGTTCAGCTGAGGTTTTACAAAACAACTAAAATTGTCTGCGATTTCTTAAAAATGCCACTATCACTCATTATAATGTTCCCAGTACCTTGAACTTATTTTGTCTTAGAGAAGCAGTGTGATGTCTTAGGATGAGAAAGCCCTGGCTCAAGTCCCACCTCTGATCCCAGGTCAGGTGTCTGAGCATGGCTTTTCTTAAACATCAGGGTGTTCTGGGAGGGGTGGGGACAAAGTGAGGGTAAAGAGCCTCACACAGTGGCTGGCGTAAGCAACACCCAGATCTCGTAGTACTTTAATTTTTTAAAAATATTTTTAAATAATTATTTTATTTAACTTGATTTATTTATTCGTTTTTTAATTTGACCAGAGAGGGATAGAGGGAGAGAGAAAGGGAAAGTGAGAAAGCAAGCCACCGAGTCCAGGACTTGAACCGCAGTCGATCATGTAGGAGTCCAGTGTCCTTAACCACCATGCCACCTCCTGGATCCCTAAACCATGCAGTCCTTACTCAAATGTCCTGTGGCTGAATCTGGTGTTTTTGATTAGATCATCTTGTTATTTATGGATAACAATAGCAGTAGTGCCCATATGGGCTGCTGGAAATACACAGATGTTGGGACTGGGCTGATGCTAATTTGTCTACTTCAAGCCTCCTGTCTCAGCTAAAATGGAAGTTCCATGTAGCTGAAGTGCTAAGTGTTAATATTACTAGGCTTGGCCTGTAAGCAAATAATTTCTTGGATAAACCATCCTCCTTGGTGGTGGAGGTGGTTAGGATTGAAAACCAAAAGTCATGCAGTAGAAGCTGCTCCATCTGCTTCCTCAGGCCTACAGGGCTGAAAGCACAGGAAGGTGACTTTGTGCCCAAACCTGCAGAGGCAAGAGGTCAGGCAATGGCGAACTCTGAGGGCCAGGCATTGTAGAAAGGCCCCTGAGAAGGTGGCTCTTCAGGCTTAAGTATAGGAGTGTAGGTTTCTTCGGATGGTCCTGGAGAAACCACTGGGTCTAATCAGTTATACTCCATCAAGGATGGGAGAGGAGCTCGTACTCGAGGGAATTAAGCAAGTAAGCCACGCAGCACTGACCAAGCATAAGAGAGAAACCCAACAGCTGGGCAGGAGGCTCCTAACAAATTGTACTCTCTCTAGTAGAGTGTAATCATTAGACTTGAGAAAAACAATATTGGCTGGACCAGCAGGTGGCATAATGGTTACATCACTGGACTCCCACATGGCCGACTATGGTTCAAGTCCCAGACTCTGGGCTTCAAACTTGGACTGTGTGCATGTGCTCAAGATCCCAGTAGGAGAACGGAGGAGAAGGGATTGCAGCATGGCCATCCCCATAGGGGGTGATTTCTTGCTTTTTGTCTCTCTGTCTCTCTGGTGAGCATACACACCCCATAGCAAAAAATCTCTAAAAAAAGAAAGAAAGAAAGAAAAAAGAAAGAAGAAAGAAAGAAAGAAAAAGAGAAAGAAAGAAAGAAAGAAAGAAAGAAAGAAAGAAAGAAAGAAAGAAAGAAAGAAAGGAAGGAAGGAAAAAGAATATTGGGTATGGGAGAAGAGTCCTGAGGTTATTGGATGGTCCTCATAGCTGGATGTGACTTAGTAGGCCTAAGGGTGGTTTTTGTTTGTTTTTGCTATAGGATGCATACACTCACAGGGGAGATTTCCATGGCTCAATCCCTTCTCCTCTATTCTCTTGGGACTTGGGGATTTTGAGCACATATGTACACGTACCCAGCATATTTCTCAAGTCACTGGGCCTGGGACTTGAACTACAAAGTTGGTCATGTGGGATCCAGCTAGCCAACCTCTGCACCATCTGCTGGCTGACTCCATGATAATATATATAAAATATATCAATTAATATATATACATATATATATATAATTTGTTAGAGGGCATGTGTGCTCATCAGAGTGAGACAGAGAGACAGAGAGAGAGGGAGCAGAGAAAGTACCCCCTATAAGTAATAGTCATGCTGTAATCCCCTCCTTTTGGAACTTTGTCACATATGCACACATGTCTAGTGTGCTTCTTAAGCCACCAGGTCTGCCGACTGGATGGCTGGCTAGGTTAAACTGCATAGAAGTGGTTGGCCATGTGGGATCTGGCTGCTTCAACTACCAGGCCATGGAACCGGACCTATTTTTTTTTTTTTAATTGTAAAATAGACGTAACAAACTTTACTGTCCTAACCATTTTTAAGTGTATACAGTTCAGTGGCATTAAGTAAATTCATGTTGTGCTACCATCAACTTTTAAAAATTCAGAATAAACACTGGAATTCCACTCAGAAGTGAGCCATATAAATCTTTACCTTAAGTTATTTGTCTAATATCCCCATGTTCTCCTGGGATACCTTCAGTGAAAATCTCCCTGGCCATAACTCGGTAGGTTTTCCAATTGTTGGTGGAAGTTTAGTTTGCACATTAACCAAAGCACTTGCATGTCTCATGTGCTCTTAGGCATCTGCACCATTCGTCATCAGTATGAAAATTACCTGCAGTTTACCCAGCATCTGTGGTAGACTCTCCTCATTCTGGCATTCGTCAGATAAATCAAGAGAGAGGAAATCGACCGAGTCCTAGGAATAAGCAAGTAGAATAGGGTCATTAGAGCAAAACCAATTTTAAGACAATGAGCTGCTCAGAAGTATTCTTTTTATTTCTCCTTCCAAAGTGGGATTTTCCAAGGGAAAAGGGGCAGGAGCAAAGCTGGGGATGGAGCAAGAATGTGGGGTGGTACCTGGATGGGGTCGGGGTATCCACCGATGTGCTCGGTCAATGGCAGGTGGAAAGAGCCCGGTAAGAATGATGGCTAAGTGAGTGAGTGTGCGTGCCGGGAATGGTGGGTTTCCGCCTACGCAGGCGAGCACTGAAGGAGGGAGTTGGGGCCAGGGCTGCTCCAGGCAGCGTTCTCCTCATGGCCCTTGCACTTTACCAGCACAGAAGTCCTCAGGCACCCATGGCTCTGCAGTGATCTCTGCAGACCTTGCTAAGTTTTGGGTTTTGTTTTCTTTTCCTTTTTCTTTTTTTGAGAGTTTTTTTTATTTTATTTTTTTGCTATAGGGCACATGTGCTCGCCAGACAGACAGAGAGAGACAGAAAGACAGAAAACGAGAAGTCACCCCCTCCGGGGGGGGTGACCACGCTGCAATCCCGTCGCCTCCGTTCTCCTCTCGGGATCTTGGACACACACGCACCCACGCCCGACATAAGTTTTAAGCCACCGGGTCCGGGACACAAACCGTGGTCGACTACGTGGGAGTCCAGCGACATGGCCATTACACTAACTGTTGGTCCGTTGGGTTTTGTTTTCATTTGAGGCCAGTTTGCAGTCTACTCAGTTAGCCCTAGCCCTGGCTCATTCCATTAGTGAAAAGCACAATCCTCATAGTCCTGGCAGTCAACACCCTACCTACATTCTAAGTAAGGATCCCTCTGCCCCGTCTCTGGCCTGTGCGTGCTTGAAGAACTTCAGCTTCATGGAGTATAGACTCATGAAGATACCAGTGACCTGCCATCCATTCCTCTCCTTGTTTTGATTAGATCACCTCCTATCTTCTCCCTCACAGATCATCCACCTGTTCCCTCAGACAAGGCTGGGGACATCGTGGACCTTTGTCAACTGATTCATCACTAGCTCTCTGCTGCTTTCCTAATAAAGTTATCCTGGTGTTTACCGAGACTCCATCACTCTCTCCACCCTGATAAGAGCACTCCAACCTTTCCCATCCACTCTCTGCTCTTGCTTCTGCTCGTCAACTCCATACAACACATTCGGTTCCTGCTTCTGAGAGTCTGTTGCTAAGTACAGTGGGTGGAGGTTCACATTTACAGGTAAGATCCATTCATCTTTACAAGCCAATAAGATCCCCTATTATAACTTAATAGGAAGGGCCAGCAAGTGCACTGATTATATGAAGAAAAGGCAGGAAATTGGAAAAACGAAAAGAAAAACTCATACCAGTGGTTCAAACGTTGGTGGGGATCAGACTCACCTGGGAAGCTGGGATGTCTACAATGGCCCAGGTCTGCCCCACACATCAAACCTTGGACCTCATGTCCTTTACTAGCTCTCTAGGTGACTCATATACACCAGAGCTTGGGACTTCCAGTCTAAACAAATGGCTAAGGGTCCAGGTGGGAAGGGAGAGCATCAGGCTGAGTAGGGAGCATTGTAAGCCAGGCCTCCTGGTGGAGAGCGTAGCCACATGGACATTAGCAGTGGGTGGGATTTTGCTGGAAGGTTTGAGGAAGGCAGGTGTGCGGGAGAAACATCAAGTAGGAACACAGGAGAGGAGGATGCCAACCTAACACCGCACTGATAAAACAGGAGGTGGAGAGAGAGAGACATTGGAAGGCCCTGAAGGATTTATATCCATGCAGGGGAGGGTGACTTCCCATCTGGGAACTGGTCCGACTGTGCTTTCAGATCACCCAGAAGCATTGAGGGGCACGGATCCCTATCCGTGGGATCTGTGAGAGACCAGTCCAAAGGCTGTTTCTTGACACACATTTTTCTGGTCAGCATTTTGGTCTTCTGAGTTCATAACTGATAGCAGTTATTGCCCTTTGTAAATTAATTTAGCTGGTGTTGTGGCCATGCAATCAGTATGGGAGTTATTTATCCCGAATCTTATCACGGCTGGGTTTTAAGTCTCTGAGCTGGTAAATCTGAAACTGAACCCTGACACATGATCCTTTAACCAGATACCAGCAAGCAGTGTGGTATCTCTTCAGCGCCCTGGCAGTGCTGTGGGACTCCTGAGTCAGCTGGATTTTTCTGATGCGTTCTGCACTGCCCAGTGGCCAAAACAGGGGTGGAGGGAGGGGGGCAAAGCTGTTTACTTCTCAGATATTTTCATTTCTCTCTCTCTCTCTTTTTTTTTTTTTTCAGCCACAGGGCATGTGTGCTTGCCAGAGAGAGACAGAGACGGGAAATCGGTAATCACCCCACTCTGAGGGGCTGGCCATAGTGCAATCCTTTCTCCATTCTCTTCCATTTTTTTTTTGGAGAGATTTTATTTATTTATTTATTTATTTATTTATTTATTTATTTATTTATTTATTTGCTATAGGGCATGTGCACTCGCCAGACAGACAGAGAGAGACAGAGAGACAGAAAGCGAGAAATCACCCCCCAGGGGGGATGGCCATGCCGCAATCCCTTCTCCTCCATTCTCTTCTTGGGATCTTGGGCACGCATGCACACGCGCCCGGCGTGAGTTTTAAGCCACTGGGTCTGGGACGCGAACCGCGGTCGACTACATGGGAGTCCAGCGACATAGCCATTATGCTAACTGCTGGTCCCTCCATTCTCTTCTTGGGTTTTGGGCATACATGCACACATGCCCAGTGTGATTTTCAAGCCACTGGGTCCAGGACTCGAATTGTGATCAGTCATGTGGAAGCCTAGTGCCTTAACTGCCACACCACTGCCTGGCCCCTTCGTTTTTCATTTAAAAAGTTATAATTAGAAGATACAGAAACCAGAACGAGTGCTCGAGGGAGCAGAGTTTTGGAAGTTCCTTTACCCAAGTATCTGTTTTGCCATAGACAGATCTCTTCTCCAGTACACTGTTTTGAACATTGGCCTTTGGCTTCTCTATCTAGGCAAGCAGACAGTGGACCAAGCAAAGCTGGGGTTACCACAATGAGATTTTGTTTCTAAAGTAATGATGAATGTGGAGAATGTACACTACTCAAAAGAGGCATTTATAAAAATGTCAGACCAACAAACAAAAGCATCTTCAGTTTTAAAAGCTATAATCATAACTTTCTCAGATTGCAGGTACTGTCTCTGGTCTGTTGTTACCTTGACAAGAGCAGATGTGGGTGGTTCTAGCAGAAACTCTGAGACCTCTTCAGCTCGTAGGACAACAGAGAGCTTTCCGCCTGAAACCAACCAGAGAAACACAGGAGGTGAGGAGGGCAGGAAGCTGATTGCGGAAACCACGGTGGGGTTTCATTTCC